GCTCAACAACAGATTCCACTTCCATGGCTGGCGACGAGGGTGATGTCCGGAAGAGCTCCTCTCTCTCGCGTGACCCTAACGACAAACTCGTCCTCTCCCTCTAGCTCTCGCGCCCGAAGCCACGCCCCGATCCGTCGCTAGCAGACCTCGTCGGGGTCTTCTTTCTCTCCATCTCGCGAGAGGGTCGGCTAGGGAGGCGAGGATGGGATCGCGGCTCTGCTTGACTGCTCGGCTTTCTTATTTGAACGCTCGATTTTCTTACTTGTTTACTCGGCTCAAGTGGGTTGCTTGACTGCTCGGCTCAAGTAGGTTGCTTTCCCTGTTTCTCTGATTGCTTGTTGATTATGCATCTTCAGAAAGAATTGTGGCTTATATTCATTTTTAGCCTGAAATTTATTTTCCTTGACTAATATATAGATGTCAATCTTGATTTTTTACAGCACAAGCTTGTCAAATTTTTTGATATCTGTAAAAAAAGTTGCAAATAAGGGCAGATTGATCATTTATCCAGAATCAACTGTTTTCCAAATGCACAAACCAAACAACCAGTTAGCTTATCCGAATCAGCTGGTCATCAGCAGATTATCAGGATAAGCTGCTTATCAGCTTAAGCTAGATATGCTACAGCTGCCCCAAACAGACACTTAATTTGAGCCACCTTGCCTAAAAGGATGGGAAATATTCCTAAATAAGACATTCTTCTTCTTCTCACAGCATTACATCCCATTTTTGCAATTCGTTAAGTTTTATGGATGTTGTTTTTGGGTATGATTGAATGTTTTTCTCGACATATTTGCATAAGCTATTTCTCTAGATTATATCCTTTTTCATTTTCTTAACAAAACTAATCTTAAATTATATAGTCAGTGTAACTGATTATTTATTAGATATATTCCCCATATCACACGGGTCCTTTTAGAAGGATTACACTTCTTTGAATTTATGGGATAGGGGCATTTACCCAACCTTCTTGCTATGACAATTTGTTATGCTGAGTAATTGGCTCTTCTTGACAAAGTAGTGGTAAATCTTTAAAAAAATCCATGGAGATGCTCTTCCATGGATTGCTTGCCATGATCAGTAAGGTGTACAATTCATGCTTCTTGTTTTCAAGCTTGGATGTGCTACAAGATATGAATCCTTTAATATATACTTAGATATTGTAATTTTCTTGGTTAGGAAACATGGGTTATAGATTTTGTAATGGCTTCTCCACTACAAAGTGTCCAATTTTGCAATCAATTTGTTGAGTTTGATAGCTTGGTTGACATAATTTGTAGAGAGGGCTATCTCTCTGTATAAATTTTGAAGATTAAACATGCATAATAATGCTAAAAAAAGGGTCACCGAGAGGGTATGCTGACTATTTTGTTGGTAATTCTCTTTTTGTCTTTGGTCGCTAGGTTGAATTGTTGGAATTTATCCACTCCATATGTCAAACCTACTGTAGATTGATCTGATTCTACAAATTTGTAGCAATTTGCGATTTGTATGCACTTCGATGTTCTTCCTTGGAAGTTAGGCATGCTAGTATTACACCCATTGCATATCCACCAGCATCTACCTCTATGCAAATTTGGCAAAAGCTAGCACTAGCGTTTTGTTTTTTTTTGAACATGAGAAATGTATTTTATTGCTTTTGCGGTTTTTCCCCATTATGTTTAAAGCTTGTACAGGTGAGTAAGTATTGAAATTTGTCAAATAAACTTAGTGAATAATAATATTCCATAAAGCTTTTCATAACAATTATTGATGGAGTTTAGGGTCACTTCTTGAT